GCAGAGGGGGTTAAAGGGTATGAGCCAGATGCTACTGAATCTGACACTGGAGAAGCTAGGGGCAAACAGATATGATACTTCTTGAAGAAGCTGGAGAGGAGAGATTATAGGATAAAAGTACCTGAAGACATATAGGATCTTGTTTGCTTTTCTAAAATATTAAGCAGGCATTGTGCTGGGCATTGGGGATAGAAAAACGAGGAAGACAGTTTCAGTCTAGTGGAGAAGAGAGGTAAATACATCGTAATAAATTTCAAAATTAAGGTAGATTTGTATGTAGAGTTCACAGAACATTAAGAGGAATTAGATATAGAATTTATTCATTTATTTTATTCATGCAAACAGCATTTACAGAATACCTGCTACTATGCCTGAAGCTGGAGAAATGAAAGTAAGATACAGTTCTTACCCTGAAGAAACTCACCATCAGGTAGTAAGAAAGAACCTACCAGAGCCTAGGAGGATTACACCACCTGGAGTGTTCAGACACTGCCACGTGTATAGTTCATTATTATCTTAGCAAAAGTTAAGGCTTTGCGATGGCAACAAAAGAGGATGCTAGTTAGAGGGTAGGGGACAGGGGACAGGCCTAAAGGACTTGGGCTTTTTACTATGACAACCTAAACTTTCCTAGGATACTAGCAAAAGGTCATTAATTTTCCTGCAGGATCAGTTATATTAAAATAATCTGAAGCACAAAAAGCTAGTGTTTTTCACTATTAAAAATACGAATTCTATTATGGAGTTGAATGCAATAGCAATATGGATTAGTAAATACGACAGGAAACGAATTTCCACTGCTGGGCTGTGAACTGGCCAGCTAGGACGAGAAGCTACACTGAGATTCCTCAGCTGGGCAGGCAGGTGTTTTGGCTTTCACAGCTGAAGACTCTGGGGCAGGAGCTGGACAGTCTTCCATTCTCAGAGGCTCCAGCGCAGGACAGCTGGAGAACCAGAAGTAGTATACAAGAGAAAGAAGCGTTAAGAGTCAGGCGCAGGGACTGCAGACAAGCCAAGGCCTTGGGGGCCGGTTATCATCCCTGCTCCCAGGACTCAAGCTCTGAAGAGACCAGACCCCAGGCGCCCACCTTCCTACAGACGGCGCCAGCAGCTCGCGGGCTGCCCTTTGAACTCCCGGCGCCTCGTCGCCGTGGCAACCGTCTTCCACAGGCCTCTGCGACTTTCTGCTATTGGCTGAGAGGACGCAGAGAACGTCTGACGTCACTGAGAGGCGCGGCCAGGTCCGCGGGCGCGAGTCGCGCTTAGCCTGATTTCCCCGGGTCCGAAGGTCGGTGGCTGGAACGGAGGCTGTGAGCTGACCCCTCGCTGGACCCGAGCCCCGCAGGGGCGGCAGGCAGGTCGCGGCGGGAGACCGGCGCGGTCGAAACTGGTGCCGGGAGCTGGGCCCGCATGTGCAAGGTATCCCTTCGGCGCCTTCTCGGCCGAGCCGCTTTCTTGCCGCCCGGTCTCTAGGGCCGCAGAATCCCGTTGCTAAGGACCCTTGAGAACCAGAGCGCTGGCAGGACCTCCTCGCCTGTAGTCCGGTTTCGGTCCAGAGTAGCCTTCATTGACCTCAAGCAGGCCGCTTCCTCCTACCCGCTTTTTAATCTCTTCCTTTTTTTCTGTCTCTCTCATTTTGTAACTTTGACAATACCCTCGCCCTGAACTGATCTTAGATATTTGGAAGTGCATGGTGGGGAAGGATGCAGAGACTGGGAGTATGAAAAGTAGATTTTAAGACCCTTAATACTGGCTCTTTGGATCTATCTCTACTCTTTGGACATTGAAGGCGCTTTAGCAATGGAACATGGGTTTAGTGGCGTGCCTGTTACACTTTGGCAATTCTCTAGACACTGGATTAGAGAGTAGGAAGAAAATATGGCCTATGACCCTGAGAATTTAGCAAGCAGGTTGTTCCAGTGGTCTGAAAAGCTAGGTGTGGGAGAGAAAAAGTACATATAAGGAAAGAAAGAGTATATGAGCCATCTAGACATTAAAAGAAAGCAGAAAGTATGCTCTCCTGGCATTCAGAGAGATGCCCAAAATTAGAAGTGTAGGTTTCACTGAAGGACCCTTTTTGGTTTGTTTGCTAATATTGTAAGGTGACCAGAGGCCCCGCTTTTTAACAATTTGTCCCGCGTCCCGCAGCGTTTTAAAAAAGTCCCGATTTTTGGAAAGAATGCACGGGAGAATGGGAAGGGAATATATGATTTTCACCTGCTGAAAAGGTTAATGTAACTCCATTTGGGAATGAAGAGGTTAATGTAACTTCATTTGGAAATGAAAAGGCTAATGTAAATCCCCTACTCCCCTCCTGGGCAAAGTTGCCCAGGTGGAATCCATATCAGAAGGAGCTCCATCCCTTGCTTCTAGGCAAGGACAATTAGCTCTGAAGGAGCCAAACTGTCTGGAACAAATAAGTAGCTCCCTACCCCCCTCTCCAGAGTAAAGTGACCAGACGTCCCGCTTTTGGCAGGACAGTCTCGATTTTTAACAATTTGTCCCACGTCCTGCGGTGTTTTTAAAAAGTCCCAATTTTTGGAAAGAATGCATGACAAGCTAGGGAACGTGGGAGAACAGGAAGGGAATATAGAGTTTTCGGCTACCATGTGGCTATTTCGCCAGGATATGAGTTTTATATTATCTTTGTTAATTTCATACTGTTAAACTTTAATAATAAGAAATCATTGTTGAGAACTGATAATCGAGAACTGCTTATCAAAGTTTGCATTGTTGTCAGGCCCTGTCCCCCCAGACCCCGCCCCCATCAATGGTGTCCTGCTTTACCAATGTTAAAATCCGGTCACCTTATAATATAGTACATATATATACTATACTATATATATACTATATAACATAGTTTAGGTATTTACGGTTAAGTGGGTTTATAGATTATAGTGTCTAATTAGAATCTTAGTATTGCTTTGTAATAGAATGAGGGATGACCTTGGTAAGGTAATGTTTATGACAATTGTTTTTGACAGTTGTCAACAGAGAAGTTGACACTTCTCTCCATCATTAGCCATTTATGCCATTCTCCCCATGGTATTTACTGATAAAACACTCAAAAAGTTGTTGAAGGTAAAATGCCTTAAGCATTTTCTTCCACAAGTAACTCATGTTTCCTCCAGGCTTGTCAGTGGTATGCTACTAGGTTGATATTTTTAAAAATTAAGCACACTTACAATTGTCACTTAGTATTCAATGGAGATTGGTTCCAACATGCCCCCGTGCCTTGTTCTCTAGGCAGATACCAAAATTGATAGGAGACTCCCCTGGTTGATTCTCCCTTAGTATTTTTGTTTAGGGGCATCTACCCATGCAGAACTTAGAGATCAAGAAGGCCGGCTATCAATCCATGAAGCCAAAACGTGTGTACCTCTGCAGTATTCTCAGATAACACAACACACAGCAAAACAGAAGGGTGACTGTAATTTGTCCTCAAGGTAGAAAGGAATAATTTTAACAGGTGAAAAAGTAATTGGGGAAAAAAAATACTCCATGTTTTGAAGTGGACACAGATATGTTTGTACCATTGCATGCCTTTGTTGCTGAAAATCACCTAAAAATTATCTTCAAGGCTGGGCACAGTGATTCACGCCTGTAATCCCAGCAGTCTGGGAAGCTGAGGAGGGTGTTTTACCTGAGCTCATGAGTTTGAAATCAGCCTGAGCCAGAGTGAGACCTAGTCTCTAAAAATAGCCAGGCTTTGTGGAGGACGCCTGTAGTCCCAGCTACTTGGGAGGCTGAGACAAGAGAATCACTTGAACCCAAGAGTTTGAGGTTGCTGTGAGCTGTGACACCGGGGCACTCTCCTGACAGTGACAAAGTGAGACTCTGTCTCAAACAAAACTGTCCTGCATACATAGGAAATTTGATAGCTAAATTTTCTACCATGTTTATAATTTAAATTCTTTCAAATGAAGAGTTTTGGCGACTTTTAAAACATTTTCAAAATACAATGCAGTACTTTCCCATGGGTAAATTACAGGAACAACTTTTTAAAGTACTAATTGCTTTACAGAGAAAGTAATTAAGCTGTTAAACTCTGTCAAAAACATCTGCAGAATTGGTTGTTAGTACTGAGAAATGTATCATATTTGATGTGGCTAACTATGAACTTCTTAGGTTTATAGTCCTCTCTCTCTCGTTAATGAGAGCTATTACAGTTGACTTGATGATCAAAAGATATCAGATTTAAACTGATCTTCAAATTGATCTGACCCAAAGTGTTAATCCAAATTTTTTGAAAAGAAGGAACTATTTAGTCAAATTGGCCATATTATCATTGTTAATACTAATACTTAAAAAACCACTTTGTACCATTGTAAACAAAATAACTATAGCTAAACCTCATAGAACACTTACCATATGCCAGCCATTGTATAAATATCGTCTTAGATGTATTTCTATTAGACGTCATCATTTCTGTGGAGTAGTTCCTGTAATTGTGCACAGTTGTAGAAGGAAGGAACTGGCGCATGGGTTTGTTTCTTTTCAACAGAAACTTGTATGATCCCCCTCCAGGAGTGTCTCAAAACAGAGGTCAGACACAGTAGTAAATCTTTGTGGGTTGGTCATAGAAGTATGATACTAGGTTAACGTATTTAAAGCTTGTCTGAGCTTATTTTAGAATATTATCTGACAAATCTAATGAGATTTTAATTAATATAGTACTAGAAAATACCTTGGAGCTGAAGGGGAAGTCTGATATTGGGAAGTAAATCAGTGAGCTTGTAGTGAGATAAGAAAACGAGGTCAAGGTATTAAATCAGGAAAACTGAAATGAAGATTATCTGTGTTCAGAAGCAGTCTTATGTTTAAGTTTACCTTTGCGTTATACCAGATTTGGGTCTGGGCATTATCTTGGAAATACAGGGTGTCAATAAAGTGTAGATACCCTGTATTATCTGGCTAAATTTTATTAAGTAGAACTGTGTCTTCCTTTTGAAGATTTTTAATTTGTCAAGTAGATTAAAATCATCTCGTGAGGAATTTTTGGAGAAAATATCAGAGTTAATCTTATATACACTGTGAGTTTTGAAGTGAAAACAAAGGAGTTAAGAGTCAGTGTTCTCAAATATTTGAAAAGCTGTCATTTGGAAGTGGAAGAGGATGTCACCTGCCCTTCACCTGCCCTTCACCTGCCCTTCACCTGGCCCAGATTCCCTTAGGCCCTAAGGCTTAGGGAATATCTTACACTGTAGTTGAGGGGGAGTCAGCTGTATTAAAGGTGTAATGATAACTACAGTGTTAAGGAAGTGAGAGTAATCAAGAAGAAAGGAGCAGGAAGCAGTGCAAACAGGGCGGTGTCAACGTGGGCATTTGAGAAACTGAGAAGATGAGGACAGTCTGCATGGACGCTGGGAATGGAGTTAGACCCAAAATACCAGCAAGCACTTGGATATGTGAGTCTGGGTGTGTATGAGCGAATGTGTGTACTTGTATGTATGTATATTTTTCTTCTTAGAGATACAAGTTTAGAAATTGATTTAAGCAAGAAATCTGGCGTATGAACTAGAGTCCTCCCCTTAGCAGAAAAGGCAATAGTTCAGGAGGGGAAGCGAGCCCGTGTTGAGTGAGGGAGCAGCTTTACCTGTCAGAGCAGGATGGATTTGCTCCTCCAGAATGGCCTTGATAGACTCGTATTATTCCTCCTTTTAATGGGTCAGTCATTCGATGTGTAGGAGGTTAAATAATCTGCCTAAGCCCATAAATGGCTTTCTAGTGACAATGAATACTCCTCCAAACAAATTTTGAAATCAAGTTTCATTTCTCTGTAGGAGTAAAAGAGAGGCAATGCAGAAATCAGAGTATCCTGGGAGTACACAGCTGAGAAACAGAATAACAGGTACAGAAACAAAATAACAATTTCTTTTAAGAAATTAAGAGAAGAGGCCAAGTTTGTTAATGACGCATCCTGTGTAGAGATAAGTGCAGGGTGAAATTCGTTGCTTTCACCTCTTTTTGTTGATTTTCTGTTTTGTCCAGGTAACTGTGATCAACGGTCATTGTCAAGTGCACAAATAAAACACAAGACTGTAATTCAGCAAAGCAAACCCTCCTCATCAACCAGTTCACCAGAGTCTGCAAGAAAACTTCATCCTCGACCAAGTGATAAACTTAACCCTAAAACAATTAACCCGGTAGGTCCAAAATGGTTCCTAAGTCAGTAGATTTTTCAAAGTAATAGGCATTTAGCACACTCTTGAACCGTTCTGAATGCTGTCTCGAGTTTTTCCTCGGCCAGTTTTGAGCTAAGGATGAAGGAAGGGCATGTAGTAATCAGGACTGAAGAACCGAGCTGACCACATGTGAGTGTGAGCGAGTGTGGGGCTGAGAAGGGGGCACCCAGTTTGGGTATTTCCTGTCACATTCATTGATGAGCATTGTGGTACATAAAATAAATTGCGTGTCCGCTTGACTTTTTTAGTATGTTGTTTTACTTCCTAATAAACTTGTATTTAGTTGCCATAGATGATTTACATGCTTTTATAGTTGCATAACGTTCTCTGACCAGTCCTCTATGTTCTACAAATTAGCTCCACCCGAAATCCTAACTCTAGTACTAGCTGCCTTTTGGCCTCTCACTACATATGATCAGATTAAATAAACATGACATTTATGCACATAAAAGTGCATAAAGTGTAAGTGTGTAAATAGTGAATTATCCAGAAGGAAACTCATCTGTGTGACACCATCAGGCCGTGCTGGATGGTGGGCACATTTGGTAGGGTAAGATGATAGTGAAGAGGGACTGTGAGAGTGACTGAGGCTCCGGGCTGACTTTTATGGCAGACAGTTACGCAAGGATTTAGTGGACTACGGGAGGGCAAAAAGAGAGGGTCTGAATTTATAAAAGAAAAATGAAAAATAGTTTGAGCACCTGTGTTTCTTTGCCTCTTTCTATAAAGAAGCACAGTGTCAAGGAAA